ACAACAACAACAACAACAACAACAACAACAACAACAACAACAACAACAACAACAACAACAACAACAACAACAGCAACAACAGCAACAACAGCAACAGCAACAACAATTGAATTCGCAACAGCACCCTTCAATCTTCACACCTGCATCTTTCACCACTCTCCAACCATCAAAGCCTTTACTACAACGTTCATCTAGTGCAAATAAATCGCAACTGAAATACCTTCTTACCTTAAGACAGGAACAGTATGCGTCTTCAGTCTCAGACTCGGAAACTGATTCGGTAGAAACTGATTCAGATTTCTATACCGATGAACTCGCCCGCTCAGCTTCGTCTATTCGGAGACGAACATCCTTTCAATACAGTCCTACCAGGTTTTTTCCGGATTTGGATCCTGACTCTCAGGAGAATCATGTTAGTCATCTGGCATTTATAGACGAACGCTCGCCCGAATTCACTCTCCCGAAAGTAAAGCGAAAATTACATAGAGATCTTGATGAGGCCAAGTCGCGTGCCGACAGGTCTATTCAAAATATACTCGAGCGGTGGTACGAGACACAACAATATAAAGACCATTTATCTGAATTGGTATATGATGGATTGAGTGACGAGGAGGATAAACCCGAACCTCTTGTTATTAAGAGAAACCTTAGTCACCGGACGTTAAGTAAGCTTATTGAGAAGACATTGTTAGTAAGTGATACAGACGATGAGGCGGCATTGGAAAAAACAAGAAAGAAGGGAGATGACAGAACATTATTGGGAATGGGAAAGGATAATATTGAGAGCGTGTCATTACCGGGAGAGAGGACTAAACCGAGGGCTATAGTGAATAGGAAAAAGAACACTGAAAGGAGAATGGTGCTCTCAAATAGTTGGCCGCCGTCCACGTTAGGTAAGTGAACGTTGAAGGGTTTGGTGAGCGTCGGTTTAGAAAAAGGAGAACGGATGTTATCGTCAATCAATCAAAGCTCAACCATTATAAAGTTTTAAATAGTCACTTTCGCACACAATTTACTTCGATCTGCTGTCTTACGTATACTTGTAATTTTTGGTTTCCAATATGTAGCCTCCTCACATCAAAGACTTTTGGCACGTATTGATCGAATTGCGAAGAGAATTCTTAAAACCTCAGTGCAAGATCTTCTTGAATCTGACGTAGCAGTAGAGATCATGAAAGAGTTGCAGGAAGTAATGGAAACACAGAGGAAAATGGCCGTGGGCAATGCAGAGGCCGAGGAACTTCTAGCAAAGTTAGTATACAACTTTGCGGATGTTACTAGAGCTGTTGAGGCCATGGTGAGTATCAGAGTTGAAAGTGAAAAGGCAGCACATAGTGGAATGGTGATGAGGGGAAAGGAAATGAGGGGAAAGGAAATAAGAGTTAGTATGTAACGAATGGTAATGGGCAAGCAGAAACTGCGTGGGCAGTATGCGTGGATTAAATTAAAGTAGTGTACTTGGGATGATATTATACTCAATGAGAAGCTTGTCCAAACGTATGGCTCATGACAAGTCAACGTGTTACTCACTATAATCAATATGCTGGGTTTAACGGTGGTATTTTTTCCTAATATTTTATACTCATCAATATTGAATTTCTTGTTTACTGCTCCGCCCGTTCTAAACATCCCTTTAGCATCAGTCATTCACCCCTGATTTATCAGAAACAACTACAAGCGATGGCCCTACGATAGGGACGGATTGGTCCTTATTACATTCTCCGCTTCCATCTCCGTCCATTCCATTAACTCCTATCACGCCATCATCATACTCTCCACCAATAAATCTAAGACGTAACTCATCAGCGGAATCACCCGCATTATTAGCTGCTCCCCCTCCAACATATTCGTCTCCATTGGCAAGACACATGTCCATTCCCTCACCAACACCAATATCGGCATCGTCAAGAGCATCGATGGAACAGAGAAGAGCTTCCGCAAATGAGGCAGTTTTTGAACTAACAGGACCATTTACGGATTCCCCACGCCCAAGCATTGATGATAATATGCTGACATGGAATAGTCAGATGAGAAAAGAAGTAGAGCAAAAATTACACGAGGAAATGAATAGAGATATTGATTTAGAAATATTAAAGAAGCGCGTTATAGATGGTGATGGAGATCAGAAAAAGAAAGTGAAGAAGGTATAGTATTGGGCGGGAAAAAAGTTCTTTGCTTAATTATATCTGATTTGTTGCTTATATTGTGTTCAATTTTATAACCAGTCAAAGCCTGCTGTCATGAGCTTCTTGAAAAGTCTTAAAAATGCCTTTCACAGCCCAACAGTATCAAGCGGTAATAGTCCAGCCGGATCCCCAACGCGCTCGGCTACTCAATTGTCGACAGTCCGACCCAATCATCTTACTCGTCCTCCTGAGAAAGTCCGTTCTCTTTCATTTGACTCATCGACGTTTTCACTTTCTCGTAAATCATCAGCTGTCTCGCTAAAAGACAAAGATAACCCTGCTGCTGGAAGCAATTCCTCTACACACGGATTTTCTGATGTTATTCTCTGCAGAATATGTGAAGAGATGATACCAAGCTACGAGTTGGAGGCACATAGCGAAACTTGCCGTGTCACTACAGAGTACGCATTTAAGTTGCATGAATGTGATGGGAAATTGGGAAGACTGGTGCAAGACGTGGTAAAGAGAAAAGCTGATATCTTGGCAGGGGTTAGTATTATATTTGTGTACAATGCACTGCATTTGCTTAACCTATTACAAACTAATCGCTATGTCGCTTATTTAGGATAAAAATGGCTCAGTTCAAGCCTTTAATAGTGTCAAGGATGCCGAAGCAATGGAAAACATTGGAATAAAGTAAGGATTACATCCTCTTCGTATGCTATACCGGTTAATCAATACTCATTAACTCGATCGTTCCTTGCGCAGAGCTACCAATATCAAGGAGACGGATAATCGAAGGGAAGCTCTTCGTAAATGCGAGAAATATTCTAACAAGTTATCTCGTATTGTTGAGGACATGGAAAAGAACCAAATCAAAGATGAACATCTTCTAACTTATGGGAAACGCTTATTGCACGTTGTAAGTAGTGTACCTAATACGACGAACTATCCGATATCGAACACGTTTTTTATTCTATTAGATAATGAAATGTTGTTGACGCTTTTGTCTTATTCTATTCATAGGTCCAAGAGAAAAATGAGTCTCTTCGTCTGTATTTCTCTAAACTTCGAACCACAAATGCATTGTCCGGCGTGACGTCGGCTGTAGTAGCTGTAATGGATAAAGATATCTCGACTTTACGTGCTCCAGCAAGAGACAAGCTCGGTCGCAAACAATCGATATCTAGCAAGATACTCTCGACGTCAGCACCGCAGAGAGCGATAACGATAAATCACCATTACGCCAACCGAGAGTTTAATAATCTGAACAAGGACAGCTTGGCAGCCCACAGGAGGCAAGAGAGCGCTGGTTCAGCCAAATCATATTACAATGAAGCTGCTGCAAGTGAGTGTGGAACGAATTATATGAGTGGTAGATTATGTAGCACATGACTGTTTTTTCGCGTCCAAGCGTAAAATTTATTCACATATCCTTTACTTATTCACCCAGTCCCTGATGCTAGTCCGCCTGCACCGAAAGGGGGCAAGAAGCTCATATCTCTCTTTGCTGCCATGCTCAGAGGCGGAAATGCCCGATCTCAGAATACAAATACATCAAGAGAAGGTAAAGACATTGTCTCGGGTGACAAAAGCTCTAAAACACGGGTTCCCAGCATACAGGACTTTGAAATAATAAAACCGATAAGTAGAGGTGCATTCGGAAAAGTATATTTAGCTAAGAAGAACACAACAGGCGATTTGTATGCTGTAAAAATATTAAAGAAGGTCGACATGGTACGGAAGAATATGGTCAACCACGTACTAGCTGAGCGAAGAGTCCTTTCGCTTTCGCGTACTCCATATATTGTGAAGTTATATTATGCATTTCAGAGTCAGGACTATTTGTATCTGGTGATGGAATATTTAATTGGCGGAGATCTGTCGTCTCTATTACAAGTATTGAGCACATTTAACGAAGACATGGCTCGTATATATACGGCAGAAGTAGTGCTTGCATTAGAATATTTACATGCAAATGGAATAACACACAGAGACCTCAAACCGGATAATATGCTCATTACAGCTGATGGACATATCAAGTTAACAGACTTTGGATTGTCGCGAATTACTCTACCTGAGAAAAATCCAATGTCGTTCTCGACTGATAATAAGCCAACCTCTTCGCAAAAGAAAAAATCGTCTGTTAGTAGATCAAAGAGTAGCGTAGATTCACGTGGATCAAATGCATCACAACATCGACCAGTATCAACAATATTTGCTGACGAGAACCTAAGAACTACGCAAGTAAACTTTGAACCTGATACGATCAAAGACAAACAGCGGTCGGGTAATTCATGTCTACAGAAAAGAGCTCACAGGCAAAGTTCGAAAGCCCTCCTTGGCACTCCCGATTATTTAGCTCCTGAATTATTGTTAGGTATTGGGCATAGTAGTAAGGTGGATTGGTGGTCACTGGGAGTGTGTCTATTTGAATTCATATGTGGATATCCTCCCTTTATGGATGATACTCCTGAATCCATATTCAGGAATATTCTCAATCATAACATCCAATGGCCAGAAGATGATCCAATTTCACCAGATGCTGGGGATCTAATTACCAGGTTATTGAATCACGAACCTTCGGAGAGACCGTCTGCAGCGGAAGTAAAAGCACATCCATTCTTTAAGGATATAGATTGGGAAAATATTCGTAATCAAAAAGCTCCATTTGTGCCTAGACCAAATGACGATCAAGATACGAGTTATTTTGATGCAAGAAATCAACGACCAGATATTCGCCGATTATCATCTGGAAATCTTGATGCTATAGCGAGCGGGATAATACCGAAAAGTGACAACAGGAAATCAGTTGCGTATGAAGAGAATGCAATGGATGCTGTCAGCATCGCGAGTGGAGTGGCATCATCTAATTCGAGTGTAGTAAGCGGTGTGACTAACCAAACAACAACGCTCGACCCATCGAACTCTTCTAATCTTTCGACATCAGTTCCATCTAATACTCGATCCAAACCAGACTTAACGATAAACACTCATCTGAAGCCACAACGGTCATTCTCGCGCAAGTCATCTGCGCAGGATGATCCATCAGCAAGCTTACAGGTGAAGCCAACCCAAAAGAGACGTCCATCATTACTATTGTTGAAATCGAAGCAACGAAAGCAGTCAATCAGTTATCAGGATACATCGTCTGCTTCAGTTACTCCCACTACTTCAACTGCCATACCATCAACAGCCACGTCTATGACGTCTTCATCGCGTAGATCGACACGGGCAGATAATTCGCCTGTCATGTTTGATTACGATCAACCGCAACACCTGGAAGAAGATGACGATGATGAGTTTGAGTTAAACAGCCAAGGAAGACCGAACGATGTTTGCGGGAATGAGTTTGATGCATTTGTGTATAAAGGGGTATCGTTCCTGGGCGATGTGAATCAAAAGCTGTCATCTGCATCCACACCTAATTCAGCTGCTGGATGGAGGTTATCGGGCGACGTCAGCGATGATGGGAAAGGAAAATAAAAAAGTGTGATAAGGGGATGGATAGTAGTGTAGTTAAAAAAACAACTCTTGGGGGGGGGGGTATTTATTTATATGGGACCTAACTCATACACTTGTGTTTAAAATGACATTGATAATTACTTTGTACGAGTATAATATGCAATTGGAGATTTCACCATAGATGCTATTTGTAATATATATATATATACATATATAAAGTCTTGTGCAATCACCTCGTAAGTATCAAATTAGATTATTATTATAGATCACTATTTGATATGCCAACATTCGAGTGGCCGCATTTGTATAGTATTTGACTTTTGGCATCATGGTTTTGTCATAAAGGTGGAAGACGTAGACATTTTTCCTCTCAAGTATGCCCTTTTCATTTTGCATCAAAGCATTCATACCCAGCTCAGATCTTGCAATATTCGTATTAATTTATGCGAAAAGGAAGAGCATACGTGCCGAATGCCGCGTCCTCTCAGGCTATTTCCAGCATGCTCATTCCGCAAAGTTTATAGAATTTGTTCCAGCTGTCATATTCATATTCGTTGCTATGCTCTGACGAGCGAGTTACAATGGTATAAAGCGGATGAGCGTTTTCTTCGAATGATACTTCCTGTGAATTAGTCCAAAAAAGGAAACAAACTTAGACTGTATTACTATTACTGTTATGGCAATATGCTAAATTCTTGGTTTTCTCTAAATTTTTAGTTCACATACTTGCTATTAATAGTTTTTATCTCTTCTTTGCCTTTGTATCCTCCTCAATTTACTTTATACCTATACATACTCCATAATAGTGGGTTATTATAACCCTTTCTCGTTTAGCATGTTAAGCGAGCTCTAACATGTACACGTGGTTTGACAATGAAGTTTTAAGTATGAAAGAATATTTTCATACTAAATGTTTTGACTTGTGTAAAACAATGACCTGTTCCGAAATACAGGGTAAGTTAACGATGACGCGTAATTCAAGACGCGCATAAAAATGAATTATTTTAAATAGAAGTTCTCACATTCTTGACACGTTCCAACAGTTCTAATGAGAATTTCGATCGAGCATTACTTGAAAGTCGTGCTTGAACAAGGTAAAAAAAGTTTTATTTTTGGACGAACCTACTATTGTGTTTCAGACTCTACAGAATTTGCAAGTTTCCCCCCAAACACCGTAGATTGTGGGAATTGTGAACGCACATTATACAAAACCATGATCGGTACTGCACACGAGGTGTTAAAGAATAAATATGCCCGCCATGCCTTATTACAAAATTTTAGGTTAAGTCATATACACAGGAGTGTTGATTAATCTACTTTAAATCGGTTGCCTGTAAACTTTGATAGTTCTAATATAATACATTAATTATTGTATTAAGTCTCTAATAGTATTCTTGCTGGCTGATCTCCGTTCTCTGTTTGCATCATCCTTATCATCACTGTTGTTCGGCCGGTTCTTCTTGCCCCGCTTTCCGTTCTTGCTATAAATTTTAAATGCCATTTCCATATCGCCAGTAGGAGAACCGCTAATATGATGGATAGAATCATCATCATTGTCAACAGCCGTATCGGCTTGTTTAGTTGGTGTTTCGTTCGGTATATATAGAGATACTGCCTCATCAGTCTAAAATATGTGAAATCATGTTAACAAAATAAATATATTGAATTCTATCATCAAATACATATATCGGTACTTACCGTTAGCTCGGTCATCTGAATCGCTCTACGTTTTTGTGGAGGTTGCTGTGCTGGCATTTGCTCTTGGTTTACGTTGTTCCTATGGCTTGGTTTTTGAGTCTGTCTCTGTTTCTTTGAAGCCTCGCTCTGCTTTATTATAGGTGACTCGTCTGAAGGTGAAACGATAAAAAAATGGGTCGTCAAACTAATGATAACAAAATTACAATAAATTGTTGGAAATACCCTCAAAACTAGATCCTTACCCTTATCGTCCTCGTCACTATCACTGGATGAAGACATTAAACTAGAGGAACCACTAGGTTCACTATCGGTTTCCTGTGCATTGTTGACTTCATCCTCGTCTTCTTCGTCACTATCTTTCCTTTTTCGCTATGTGACCATTGTAATTTGTAGACATTAGCAACAACCATTTAACCAATGATAGCTGGCCCATATGACTCTGTTTACTTACGGATACGTTTGGATGTAACTTCTTGAACTCTTCAGCATTTTCATCAACTTGATATTCAGGATTGGTAAATAGCTCGAGGAAACGTGGATCTTCTAATGCAGTATTAGTTGGCTATGAGAGCAGGGTTGGTTAGTGATGGATAACGGGTACGCGCAAAAATCTTTGTAAAGTCCAACATCACTGTAAACAGTCTATAGTTCTTACCTTTATTCCATTTGACTTCATTGTTTTAGCCTCGAGTAATCTGCTAGCAAGTTCCTTGTTGACTTTTGGCAATTTCTTCGTCGCTCTGATTCGAGATTCTCTTGCCTTCTCCAATTTCTCTCTTAGTACCCTTTCGCGATATTCCTCATACAAGAATGGGTTTGCAATTGCTCTGGCCTAAAAAACCCAACAGGTTTATAGGTATGTATGAAATAATATCGTGAAAGCTACAATAAATCAGATCATACCTTCTCATATAATCGTAAGTCAATAAAAAAGCCATGCATATACGGTCGTAAGATGTTTGTTCCTATTTGGCCATCCAGTCCCAAGCTATTGTCGAACGTAATGTAGTCAAAATACAGTATCATCGTACAACTAATCTCTGAAGAGTTGTCGTACCTTAATAACTCCTTACGAGTAATAAATTTGTAATTTTCATACACCGTTGGTGTAGAATTTTCTTCAAGTTCCTCCTGCACAATAAAAGATCGAACCAAGCCGTTAGATATGCTATTTTGTTTTCTTGTTTGCACGTATCATGAATGTGATTGCCCTGAATTAATAATCGTCACAGCCACTTTCATTATATATTTCGAATTCCCACACTGTTACAAATTACTTACCGTCAAGTTATCAAGGAAGCTACACCATCTTGGCGCTGGTCCTAGGCTTGGAACATAATATGCTCCTATTTGTATCCCTTCATTAGCAACAAATATCAATCCAGATCCGGGTACGACGCAGAAGTCATTGATATCTGTTAGCGGTTCTATTGCTGTGTATGCAGAACCCTAAGTACATTTGTAAGTAGACCGTAATTAAATACTGTTGTCAAATAAATCATGCGTCATACAGTATTCTCTCGATAGATATCTGATATATACATTCTCCTTATTCCAGATCTTGATAATTTTACAATCAGCACTTCCGACTTTCCCGTCAGCCTCGCCTTCAAACCAATGTATCTTCTTGATCGGATATCCATATTGATGATCTTTAATCAGCCATGGCCGAGAACTTCTTAAATCATAGAGCAACACATGCCCAGTTGAAGTGCCAACCCCAAATGAAAGTCCATCACTTCTATACTCAAACGCTGTTATACTGCAGTCAGCGACATGCACCGACATAATCCCTATTCTAGACCTGGATCTAGGGTCCCAGAATTCCATTATACCGTTATCGGAACCAAATGCGTACAGTTGATGGGCGGGATTTATCGATACGACATTGTTTCCCGCAGAAGTTGTATCGAAAGGAGAGAGGAAACGGCCTTGAGTCAGGTTTAATCTGTATATTTGAGAGCTACTTGCGGATATGAGTAGATCACACGTCGGATAATGGTATGCCATATCTCTTCCGAACTAGTGTAGTAATAATCAATAATATTGTTATGATTCTATTATTTAATACTAGCATTGGATTGTTTTAACATCATAAACGCGTAACATCTATAATCTTACCCACTTTAGGTATTCGCGTTTTGTAGTGAATGCCTCCTTGGGCATGGAATTCTATTGTTCGATCCGTCTGCAAATGCACAGATTTGGTCCAATCATCAGACAAAATCTATGATTTAATTCAACGTTGAAGGAAAAAGATCAACTAGTGTTAATTTATAAGCAGCGATTCACAACAAGTCACCTTTGCGTGGACAAACTCACTTCAAACGTTATGTTTTCTGAATCAGTATGTCTATCAAATTTCATTGACACTTCCGAATATTCAAACACTCGGATTTGTGGTTTATACACGCCTAAGCAAATAAACAAGAAAAGAGAAATATGGTGCAATCTCTAAATACATCCGCACACCAGCATTGTTTAGTTTAATTCTCAAAGACTTACCGGTTGCCATACAAAATCGACCATCGCGCGTTGTTTTCACTTTTATCGACGCCTCGGGAAACTCGAAATCCTGAATTAATTCGATCCGCGTTCGCCATTCTAGTGTAATTGCAATAATGTAAGTCACGACCTTCGCTCTTTGCCGTGTTTGCTATTTAGGACATTGTTAATTACCTGGATCATTATTTAATGCCTTTTTCTTACGTCTGGCAAGCCAATCTGGAATAGAACGTGATCCAGATCCATTGATTGTATATATTTTTACGTTGTTCGGATTTGACACTTGGAGAGGCATTTTCCTTGTGGGTTGATGCTTCTTTTACTTCCTCTTTTCTTGAATTTATTGCAGGTGACTTGACATGACCAATAGAAATCTTGATACAATATGTTACATTGATTGGTCATAGTACCTGGCAAATGTTTGAAGATTAAATTGATTTGTAATAAATCGATACAAATACTAAAATAGCAATTGTCTTCTTTTGCAGGGAGTTACTTTATTAATACAGGCAAGTGGAAGAAAATTGTAACAATGACTATTATTTATTTTCTTTTAATTGACGTAGCCTTTTTGATAAAAATCACGGGTCTGCATTTAGAGAGAATGGTGGTGGGAAATGGAAAATCATTTATGGAGGTGAGTTGAATGTATGACGAAATACAACACTGTGCCAAGTTGTTGCTGGTCAACAAATCTCGATCTTTTTTACTTTCCTAATTCATTCTAAACCATACAACTAATAGAGTCTATTACTGCAAGCATAAAACTTCAACCGAGGGATTGTCGAATTACGTCTTTATTTCTGTACCAAAGATGGATGACATTCATGAACAAGCGGCCACTATAATAGAAGACCTTGGAATGCAGGAAATTGGAAAGCTGCGGCACCAGCAATATCTCTCACCTTCCACGTCGTCCGCTGTGATAACCTTGCCGGTCAAGGGTATGAGCTGTATGTCATGTGTCAACTCGATAACCAATGCTCTAAAAGCTACTCCTGGTATCAACAACATAACCGTGAGTTTGAAAGACGAGAATGCGACTGTCGAATATGATCCATCTCGTCTGACTGTGAATAAAATAGCGGAGATGATCGAGGACTGTGGATTCGATGTGCCGATGAGTGCTGCTAATACAGATCCAGTTAAGACAATAACATTACCTGTTACTGGGATGACTTGTCAGTCGTGTGTCAAGTCTATTACCAATTCACTTTCACTTCATGGAGGAATAAGAACTGTCAATGTCAGTCTGGAAAATGAAAATGCGACTATCGAATATGATGAAATAACTATCAGCAAAAGTGAAATCATCCAGATAATTGAAGACTGCGGATTTGAAGTCAATCAGCCATCAACAACCATAGCATTTACAACTAAATCGCTTGCATCGCCCGGTGATGCTACATTTACAACTGTCACATTGAAGAGCCCTAGCCATTTGAGAAAATCGTTTAGCGAGCAATCTTCTACTAAATCTGAATTGACACCTGCAGACGGAGATATCAAAGTAGGACAGCTAAGAGTACAAGGAATGACTTGTGCCTCGTGTGTTAGTAGTATAGAAAAAGCGCTTAGACCAACTCTAGGTATACGCTCGATAAAAGTATCGTTATTGGCTGAGAGAGCTACTGTTGAGTATGATTCAGTTGTGCTGAGTGAGGAAAAAATTGCAGATTTGATCGACGCAATCGGATTTACTGCTACTCCTATTAAGCAGCAAAAGGAAGATACTGTGGAATTGACCATATTTGGAATGAACATTGAAGCTGACGTGACTGGAGTCAGAAGAGAGCTGTTAAATATAAACGGAATTATTAGTGCATCAATCAACTTATCGGACGGAAAAGCATCCATTCAATATGATAAAGAAATGCTTGGAATAAGAGACATAGTTACTGCTATTGAAGGGTTAGGTTTCAATGCACTTGTCACTGACGATAGCCATAACGTACAGTTGGAATCTCTAAGTCGCACAAGAGAGATTAAAGAGTGGAGGGAAGCTTTTCATAAAAGTCTTATATTTGCCGTCCCAGTATTTATTATTTGCATGATATTACCCGAATTTGAATGGGGGGCACGGCTGACTAACATCAAGTTAATGCACGGAATATACAGCGGAGATATCGTTTCTCTTATATTGACTATTCCTGTTCAATTTGGAGTAGGGAAAAGATTCTATACTTCTTCGTACAAAGCCCTAAAACACGGAAGTGCTACTATGGATGTATTGATCGCGCTGAGTACAACGTGTGCATTTATCTTTAGTTGTCTGGCTATGCTCTATGCTCTTTGTGCACCGCAGAATGACAAACCATCCACTGTCTTCGATACTTCGACCATGATAATAACATTTGTTACCTTCGGAAGATATTTAGAGAATATGGCAAAGGGTAAAACATCTGCCGCTCTTTCTAAGCTAATGTCACTCACGCCCTCGACAACGACAGTTATAACCAGAGACAGCAAAACAGGAGAGGTGACATCAGAGAAGCGTGTCCCAACCGAGTTAATACAAGTTGGAGACATCATAAAGATAATTCCCGGAGATAAAATACCAGCTGATGGAACGATAATATCGGGTAGTTCTATTGTAGATGAGTCGATGGTCACCGGTGAGGCTGTTCCAATACGGAGACAAAAAGGAGAAGCAGTTCTAGGAGGCACCGTCAATACACTGGGTACATTTGAAATGAAAGTTTCTAGAGCCGGGAACGACACTGCTCTATCTCAAATTGTGAAATTAGTGGAAGAGGCTCAGACATCCAAAGCTCCAATCCAGGCAGTAGCGGATGCAGTTGCCGGATACTTTGTTCCCATAGTTATAGCCTTGGGTTTGTTGACATTTGTAACATGGATGATATTGTCGCAGATATTGGATCCACTTCCAATGATCTTTAGTCATGATAAAAGTTATTTCATGGTGTGTCTACAATTGTGTATATCAGTGATAGTGGTGGCATGCCCGTGTGCGTTAGGATTGAGTACACCTACCGCAGTGATGGTCGGTACCGGCGTCGGAGCAGAAAACGGGATTTTAATTAAAGGAGGCGGTCCATTGGAACTTAGTCAAAAGGTTACCGATGTGGTATTCGATAAGACGGGGACACTAACAAAGGGCCAGTTGGATGTTGCAGATTATGTATTGATGTCAGACTCTATCCAATTAACAAAGGAAACATTTTTTGCTATTGTCGGTGCGGCTGAGTCATCTAGCGAACATCCTTTAGGTAGAGCTATCGCCGAGCATGGGAAAACGCTCTTGGGGATAAGTTTTTACGATGCCGATGTGTCCAATTTCGAGGTAGTTGGCGGAATGGGTATTCAGTGTGATCTAGTGCTCAATCCATCTAGTATTCCCATGAATAATCAGTTGCCAAACAAGTCGGGCGTTAATTCATCATCATATAATGTGATAATTGGTAACAAGAAGTTTCTGCAAGAATATCATCGGATAAATATTCCTCGCTCTGTCTTTGATACTGAAGAGTCACATGAGAGGCAAGGCCGTACAGCTGTCCTAGTTGCCATTAATAACTCGTTCACTGGCATGATATTTTTATCGGATACCATTAAACCAGAAACTTTCATTACAGTGGCAGCTCTGCAAAAGATGGGAGTATCAGTTTCAATGGTAACCGGGGACCAGGAATTGACAGCGCAGTCGATCGCATCTCAATGTGGCATTACTCAGGTACATGCAGGCGTATCTCCGAATGGCAAAAGATTGATAATCCAATCACTTCAGAAGCAGAGTGCGAAAGGCAATATAGTCGCCATGGTCGGAGATGGCATCAACGATTCGCCTGCTTTAGCAGCAGCAGATATTGGGATAGCTTTATGTTCAGGCACAGACATAGCAATGGAAGCAGCGGATATGGTCCTTATGCGAAACGACCTTTTGGACGTTGTCGCCGCCCTTGATCTATCACGAACCATATTTCGTCGTATACGTATGAACTTTGTCTGGGCTTCTTTATATAATGTTCTGATGATACCATTAGCTATGGGGCTCTTTATTCCGTGGGGATGGCATTTACATCCGATGATGGCGGGAGCAGCAATGGCGGCGAGTAGTGTGAGTGTAGTGTGTAGTAGTTTGATGTTGAAATGGTGGAGAAAGCCAATATGGGAGGAAAACAAAGCGGCGGGAACAGTGGAGAGAGTAAAAACGAAAAATATACTTTGGGAGGCGTTGGATAGGTGGGGGAAGAAGCGTGGCTATAATAGATTACCACAGGATAATATTGACCTCGTGTGAACGAAATGTCTAGTATTGATACTATCACGAGTTTTTTGAAGAGATAGGATATGCTTTTAATTCATTTCCATCAACAAGTTGTAAAGTTTTTCGAACAATCATTAATTATTAAACGTCAATTCTTTACCAGCATTAAGATTCTTGGATTGCGTTGAGGGAATATCTGTCATAAAACTCGGCCCTCAATAGTTATTCTCATAGTTGTATATTATAAAAGTACTGCATCCTCATATAATCTGTCTTCGTCTGTAGGGCATGGAATTGTAAAAGAATGAGAATCGTGTAATTAATTAGCATCGCAAGCAAAAATATAGAAACCATAAGTTTTAAAATGGAATATATTTTATATTCATATCCTTTTCGTTATCCTTATTAAACATTCGAGATTTACGATTACAGATTGCCACTTAAATAAGTTGTCTGGTTAATATCCGACATATTTCGGTTTCCTTATTAACATTACTGACAGTTATTGCATTGGCGAAAACAACGCACCAAAGCGAACTCGATGTTGGGATACAAACGAGCATGCAAACATGTAATTTTATATCTTTGACTATGCTTAAATTGGATGGGCTAAAAGTACACTACAATACATATGAGAGGTTTGTTCTTCTATTGTTTTCCTTTCAATTATCCTCGCAGCAGTGATCTCAGCGCTCTCATGTCAACGTTCACTCTATCTTCTTCCCCAGCACTTTTGATGATATATTGAAATTCATAATTTGCTTTCCCCACCTCTTCATAATATTGAGCAACCTGCAATCTGTGATTAATCAACATATTCTCCAACATGTTTTCAGCTTCTTTTCTCAATTCAATAAATATTTCATTACTCTTCTCCAATTCTCCCAACAGACTACTTGATGCTGTTCAAATAATTCGCGTAGTTTCTTTATGCAGGTTTCTTTTTGTTTCTCATATTCTTTAGATTTTTTTTTATACTCATTGACAAAGCTTGTCATTTGCTCCCATTCGGTTGTTAAAGCGGATCGAAGCCGGGAATGAATTTGTTTCTTGGCTTCAAGAAAGTCGTCGTTGAGTGATAGCATCTAGCTTGGATATTATGTCTGCGCAACTAGTATCTTCTCCATCTATCTTTACTGGAGGTTTTATTTCAGTTCGATTAGCAAACTTGTACATGTCTCTACGAATAGAAGATTGATGCGATTTCTGGAGCAAGTAGGTCGAAACGAAATAATTGATTTGCTCGACTCGACACGCGCCTGATAAATCAGATTTTATTGTCCAACAAAAAATTGGGTTTTGACGATCTTTCATTCTGCATTCTATTGATTTCGAAAGTCGAATACAATGTCGAAACTTTCTAAACTGCCTAAAGCACGAGACCTCATGAAGATGTACGGAATACGCGCGCAGGAAAACCTAAGCCAGAATTTCATATTTGATAAGAATGTAACTGGTATTTGATAAGCGTTTGGCATCGACATTGGATTACTCGAATAAAATATTTTATTAGTAATTATAATTATCATCACAGATAAAATAGTTGCTAAGGCTGGTATCAAACAGAGTGACTCTTTGGTTGTTGAAGTTGGGCCGGGTAATGTTAATTACATAACAAAGTCATGCAAGAAAATAAAGACTAGTTAATTTCAACTGTTATTCAATATTTATAGGCCCCGGTATTCTCACTCGTTCTATAATAGACACCGGAGTCAAAAATATCGTTGCAGTAGAAAAAGATAAGAGATTTATGAGCAGTCTATCTGTATGACATGTCAATATATACATCATATTGAATTCATAAAAGCGACCAAATATACACTGACTTGATCCGATCAGCTGCTGTCAGAAGAGAGTGACGATGTCTTGAAAGTAAGTATCAATACGATAATGAAATTGTATTTTTACATGCATCGTTAGGATCAATGGATTCTCATCTTAACAATAGGTTCTTGAAGGTGACATAATGACCACAGACCATCAACAATTTCTTCAATATCTGAAAGAAGCAGATCACGAAGGTAGAATATTATCATTCTGGGGTCTTTATCACAGCTTGTCATATTTTTATTCACTATTACTCTGGACCACATCATAGCTATCCATTTGATTGGCAATCTTCCATTCAACATAGCAACCCCGCTACTTATGCAATGGATATCAATGACATCTAAAAGGTCGGGAATTTTTAGAAAATCAAATATTACCATGACCTTGATGTTTCAAATGGAAGTTGCAGATGTAAGCTATCGCGGATAAACAATAAGATGCTGGCATTATGATGTGCCATGCGTCACGTTATATATACCTCACGTCTTTTATAGTCGATGTCTGTCTCACTGCTTCCTTACACCTTCTTCTCTAGAGAATAGTAGCAGTCAAATCAACGCCATCCAGATGCAGACTGTCAGTAATGGTGCAGAGCGTATGTGAGGCAAAAAGAGTTTATCAAGTGCCAAGTAAAGTGTTTATTCCAAAACCGGATGTAAGTCAGTTAGGGTTGAGTGTAATGACGAATATCATATCCATGGTTTCTCTGATTTTCCGTTTTCCCTTTATAATCCAATATCACAGATAAATGCTGCTGTGGTCAGCTTGAAACCATTGACAGAACCAATGTTACAATGTAAGTAACCATAAACATTATGCTTTGTTGACTATAAAAAAGTTATACAGATATTTGTGGGCCAACACAAGCAATTAATATGGTTAATTGTATCCATCAGCTCCGATAGAATCGCTCGAACAAGTATCCAGATACTTTTTCAACCAGAAAAGGAAAACTATTCGAGCAACCTTCAAGTCAGTCATACGCTAATATCAATTGAATGCTTGCATTTAATTTAGTAATAACATTGTTCTATTTCCTGATCTTCTTTCCTCTCCTTCATCATTTTCTATCACACTCTCCACAACTGCAAGAAAACTGCATGACGAGATGCATTCACTACACAAGCCACTCTTATCAGAGATCCAAGAAAAACTAGATTGGAATATGTTAATGCGACCACAAGATATTTCCACAGAACAGTTTTGCCAATTGGCAAAGGTGTTTCATGAGAAAGGCGTTGTTTGTTGAAAAACTGTATCTATGCGCACTAAATGCAGTGAGTTTCATGTTTTTGTTATAATGTATTCATACAATAAATGTTAGTATTACGGAGATATTCTCTCTGACCCTGCTTATTGATGGTAACTTATTAACGTTCGCGACTGAAAACCAGAACGCATAAAATGAAGAACGCTTTAGAAATAACTACAGTGAAGTCGTGTTTAGCGACCACCGTCAAATTTAATTATAACAGGTCAATTTATTTGATTAATACAATGCTACATTTCTTATTATGATACATAGTGATTATATTAGAAAGTTAATAAAATTTTTGTATAATAAAAGAGCGCCATTTTCATCTCGATCCATTACAGTTCCACAATTCCGGCACTTGTACACCTCGGACCCTCTTGTTTTTTGAACGGCTGCAAGTTTTGGAAGTATAGGCCTCGTTTTGGATAATAACACGGACCCCTAATTCTTCTGCTTTAGCCACCAGGC